TCCGGATCGTCCTTGCCCTTCTTCAGTCCAGGCCAGGTGCCTCGAACACCCGTAAAAAGTTCTGTTTTCGCCAAGCTCTTGCACACTCAGCCTCTCTCAACAGAAACGCCAGAGCAGAGCCGTTAGCCAGCGGCGCATGCGCAGCTCAGCAGGCTGAGGAGAACCGCGCCCTGGCCACGTTCCCCAGGGACCGGCGTGCAGGTGGCAACTGCCGCTGGAGGCACTTCCGGGTTGGAGGCCTCCCTGGAACGGAACACGGGGGGCGCCATGCACATGGCCCGCTTGACATAGCCACTGCGCCCCCTCCTCTGACCTGCGATCCAGGAGCTGGACCCTGCACTGGGCACCCGGTGCACGCTCAGGGGTGCACTGGAGGTCGGTCCAGCCCTCCTGCAGTCAGGGACCCACGCCTCGATCTTAGCGCCCCAGAGGCTTCTGGCCCAAGGATCCGCGCGGCTGGTGACGCTGACAGTGGTCAGGGTTGCAGCCCCCTGCTGTGCGTGCCATGTTCAGGTAGGGCTGTACCTGAGTCCATGGTGGAGGCTAATTTTGTATTTTTTTTTTAGTAGAGACGGGGTTTCTCCATGTTGGTCAGGCGGTCTGGAACTCCTAGGCTCAGGGGATCTGCCCAGGATCGCACAGTCCTGATCCCAGGACAGATTGCCTGAGCCTAGGAGTTCCAGAACTGCCTGAACAACATGAGAAGTGGGAGGGGGCGGGTGGTGGCTGGGGAAGGGCTAGCGGGAAGCTAGGACCAACGGAGGGGTTTGGGGGAGGGCGATCCGAAGGCGCGGGCTCTCTCTAGCAGGTTGCTGCAGCCATGCAGTGGCTCCCTCCAGTTGGTGGCAATGACTTGCCCAGGGGCCAGGAGCGCCAGAGCACCTTCAGCCAGCTAGTGTACACCAACAACGACTCCTACATCATCCAGTACGGGGATCTTAGAAAGATCCATAAAGCTGTCTCCCGGGGCCAAGTCTCAAAGCTGCAGAAGATGACCTTGAAGAAGAAGACCATCAACCTTAATGTAAAAAGACGCCAGGAGAGAGGTACCAGGCCCTGCTTGAGCCGGGCTGCAGAAGGAGATGGTGGCTGCAGGAGGATTTCCCCTTCAGAGTCGGGGGCTGGGGGGCCTGGGGAGGAAGGAGCGGTGGAGAATGGCTGACCGGCAGGGCCGGCCACCATGGGCCCCAGGGTTAGGCCTTCTTCCAGGGCAGGCCCCCAGGCCTGGGACGCGGCGGCCTGCTGGGCAGAAGGCCCAGGCCACCTTAAAATCAACCCCAAACTTTAGCTGCTTTCTTCCACTCCTACTTCCAA